CCACGTTCACAGTACCTAGTGCTGGAGATGACTGTAGGGCACAGTTTATGCTACCAGCTACACTGGAGATGTTGTGAGGATCCTGGTCCTATTCTTAACCCTCTCTAGACTGTTTTCTTTAGAGTCTCTGTTTACTGCACTAGATTCCCCTGATCACGATGTGCATGGTGATGAGGGCACCCAACTCTGAGGAGGCCCAGGGGACACTAGGGAAGTCTGTGACTATCACCTCCCCCTTCCACCACTGCCCTAGCTAGAGTTGAGTGATTAAATATCTGACACACGCAGATAGGATTAATTGCTGCTCTTATAAGGGGAGAGGTGACTGCCCTCCTATCAGACACAAACACACCGTTCCCATCTCATCAATGACAGCAAATGGTTGTTGGGGCCAGGCCTCAAGAACCATACTCCCAATTCTCAACTACCTCCTCTGAAATATTCTCTCTGCAGGATACATTCTCCTTGCCAAAATGCCTGGCAACACTATTTGGTAAGTCTCCTGATTTTTATCATGAGGCTTGTAATACCTATGGCCTTCATGTCCAAGCCTCATAATTCTATAGAGAAATTTAATGATATAAATCTAAACAAAGTCCAAATGCTCAATAATCAAAAGGTAAGTAAAAAAATAAATCCATCAAAATACTTTTTGTTAGAAACATCAGAATGTTTTTGTTAAATCTCTATTACTTTCAGCCTATTTCTTGAAGCCCAAATTTTGACAGATGAAAGGTTGGCAAGTAATGCCAGATCCTCAAAGATTCTGAGCCCATTGTAAGAACTGAATACCACCATCTTCCAAAAAAAAAAAACCCCAAAACAATGAAGTGCATTAACTCAGCAGCTTCTGCGTTTGCTCTCTTCACTCCATTGTTAGTGACAGGCTGTTCTCCTTCCTTGGCCAGAGCTGAGTAGGTGACTGACTGATGGGGTCTGTGTATTTCAGAGGACTTTTGGGGAGCGTCTGCTCCCACTGAAGTCAGCAGTATCTGGGGTTCTTCAGAGCAAAACTCAAAACCCTCTGGCAGCATATTTGAGGTGAGAGCTGGGGGGTCTCAGCCTTGTTGCTGAGATGGGGAACAGTTATGTTTCTGAGATCACAACTAACTTGGCACTGACTGGCGTAACTATAGAGCAAGGTGTAGCTGAGTCCCCTGGTAAAAGGAGGATAGGATGTATTCTGTGGTTGGTTTAGATGGGTTTTGGAAGGAGGAGGGTGGTAAACACATAACATGATGGCTCCCGCAAAGCCTGCTCCCAGGGCAATGTGTTCCTTTGAGACATAATTGATTCCTGCCATCAGGCACCAGCCTGCTCTCCCCCAGGGTCAGCGCTTTCCCACATCCAACCCCATTATCCCACAGACCATGCCTTTTGTACAACACACTCCAGCTATTCATGTGCAAAGCAGCTGTAATCCCCAGACCTTTCAGAGTCAATATACCAGGAAATAATAAATCCCTCTTGTGCACTCTTGAATATGCTGAGAGGTGACTTGTGGGAATTTCAGCTGGGCAGAAAAATAATAAATTCTCCTTAATTTTTCGTTATTTGTAATACTTACTGTAGAAAGACTATGTCATTGGTCCGTGACTATTTCAGGGTCACCCACATAAGCAGCTACAGAAATTGCTTTTGTCTCTAACAACCCTGAAAATGCAGATCAAATTGTCTCATATGTTTCTTAATGATCAAAGTCCACTTTCCTTCACTTATGCACCTGGGAATGGTAGCATATTAAGCATTCTGGATCTAAAGAAAAACTAATTTAAAAAGGTTAAACCTGTGAAGAATGTATTTTATAGTAATAAACACCCCTTTTTGTCGGGGTTCTAATGTCGAAAGGAGGCAAGATAATGTCACGCTAATTACATTTAATGGAATATTTTATACAATAGGTCTAATAACAACATAACCTTTTCCTCTGAAAGAGGCAGATTTTACTACACTTCCACTCTGTTGTTTCAGACAGCAGAATTATGCTTGGCTTGTGCGAGCAGAAGCAGCCAATCCTGAACAGCAAGTTTTGCAGGATAATTTATTTACATATTGCCTTCTGTACCAAACAATTTCATAATCTATTTACTATGTAGGATGTCATATCACTGAAACACCCAGAGGAGAACATGGTAGGCAGGGTTAGGTGCACCTGGGAGGCTGGGAGAAGGGATCTTCATCTGTCACATCAAAGTAAGCAGTGGCTCATAAGTTAAAAACTGTCAGAGGATCATTAAGGTTCACCACAAATAGGCAGTACCCTGTCTTTTCAAACCTTATCCAAGAAACCTCCACGGAGCGAGTCATGAGAATATGAGGATGATGAAGGGATGTGGTAATACTCCACAGATTGGTGGTGGTAAAATCCAGGAATCTTAAACATTAGGACATGTCCACTCAGCAATATCACATCAGCAGCCTCCTGATTCCAAGAGGGTCTATGAAAGACTTCAGGAGCACCACTCCCATTTCCCAGAAGCACAAACTGAGACATGGAGCAAACCAGCAGCTCCCGGGTCAGCCAGTGCTGCAGCTG